GAACGCACAAGTTGGAAAGTTGTCCACCGATGAAATGCATCTGGGCGGTCAGCACGGTGTAGGCTCCCGTAATGATAACGGTGAGCGATTACTTCATTTGTGTGAAGATGCTCGCTTATTTCTTGCGAGCACTAAATCCCGACACAGCACTCGCCGGAGGGTTACTTGGGCCCCACCAGCCTCGAACCAGCTATGGACGCAAATCGACCAAATTGCTATCAGTTACCGCTGGAGAGGCTGCATCCAGAACGTCCGCTCGATTAGGAGCACAGAGATGGACACCGATCATGCACTTGTATGTGCTGACTTGCGGATGCGCTTTGGGGGACTCCCACGCCGACGCTGTGAGCGCATTGACAACAGCCAACTGACAAAACCAACTGTTTTGAATGCGTATGAAAGTACGCTGGAATGTGAATTGAGTAAGCGCTCACTGGAGACAATTGAAAGTCACTGGTCACATCTTCAACAGACCATACTAGCAGCAGGCAAATCCTCAAGTGATAAGTCTAATTGGCAACATGGATATTTGGTCTCATTGCGGTCTCTGGAACTTATGCATGCTCGCCGGCATATCCGGCTGGAAGCGAAACAATGAAACTCGCAAAGAGCTCCGGGCAAGACTCCGTGCTAGCCTAAAGAAGAGACCGCGAATCTTGGTGGTCTCATCGTGCGTCAGAGATGGAAGTGGCCGCTGTCCTTGATAACCATCGAAAGTTATTCTTTCTGGTACGGGAAACGGGCAGCAAGAGACCTAGTGTTAGTGAAACTATACGTGACGAGAATGGACAGGCTATACACAATTTGTCAAAACGTTTGGAGCGTTGGGCTGAGCATTTTGAAAAGCAATTTAATCAGCTGGAATTGTTCGATTCTTCGCCGACCAGTGATCGCCCTGCTCTGTATGCTGTCCCTTTGGATCCACCCTCGCTCAGAAGTTGAACGTGAGATTGGACTGTTGAAGTTGAACAAAGCCGCGGGACCAGATGATCTTTCTCCAGCCCTCTTCAAATCCGGAGGCTCTGCTCTTGTTGATGCTTTACATGAATAACTAGTGAAACTGTGGGAGCAGGAGACTGTCCCAACCGACTGGAGCCGCTCCGTTATTGTTTCCATCTTCAAAGGAGGCTCGCGTTCGGAATGCGGCAACCATAGAGGAATCAGTCTGATCTCCCTCGCCTCCATAATCCTTCACAGACTGACTGGTGCTCGTGAAAGCCAGATTCGTGAGGAGCAAGCCGGGTTTCGTCGGGGTCGTGGCTGCATCGATCACATCTTCACCTTGCGTCAGTTGTTGGAGCGCCGTCACACATATTGGCGGCCCACCGTTGTCTTGTTCCTCAACATAAAAGATGTCTTCGATTCGGTTGATCGATGTGCCCTTTGGAATTGTCTACTCAGGAAAGTTGTGCCCGAGAAATATGTAAGTATTATCCGAGCTTTATACGCGCGTAGCACGGGCAGAGTGAGGTCTTACGGCAACCTGTCGCCACCCTTCAATATCTCCAGCGGTGTGGGACGAGGATGCCCGTTGTCACCCTTCCTCTTCAACTTCTTTATTGACGAAGTCATGGAGATTGCATTTACAGGACATGACTTGGAAGGTGTGGAGCTACTCCCAGGAGAACGACTTCTTGACTTGGAGTATGCAGACGACATTGCCCTAATCTGTGACAGCTCACAAACGTGCCAAGCCGCGCTGGACAGATTAGCACTGGCTGTCAGCCGCTTCGGGCTTTGCTTTGCACCATCGAAATGCAAAGCGTTCCTCCAAGATTGGCAGGGATCGCCTCCTGCGCTGACCGTTGGTGGGGATCAGCTAGAAGTCTTGCAAAAATTCAACCAACTGGGAAGCTGTATCAGCGCCCTTGGGATCGAAGACGGGGTAACGAATCGTATAGCAAAAGCTCGAAGTGCTTTTGATAGTCTTCGCCACCTATGGTGCCGGCGCGACATTACTCTCGCCCTGAAGGGTAGAGTGTACAGTGCGGCGGCAGGTTCGACCTTACTGTACGGTTGCGAAACCTGGCCCCTAAGATCGGCGGACATAAAGAGGCTAGTTGCGTTCGACCATCGGTGCCTTCGCAGTTTGGCTCACATCTGGTGGGAACACCGCGTGAGTAACGAGCGTGTTCGGCGCCTTGTTTACGGCACAGAAAAAGGAAATGAACCGCTCAGCACCGTTATTTCACGCACCAGGCTCCGATGGCTCGGCCACGTGTTACGCATGCCAGCCCACCGACTCCCGCGACGTGCGTTGTTTGCGCGCCGGGGGTGTGGATGGAATGAAGAGGAGGGGTGGCCAAGCGATGACTTGGTCCAGAGGAATGAAGGCCCTCACTTCTGAGCTGGCCACGGTTCGAGCGTCTCGGCTCCCTGGTTGGAGTCCGAAAGACGATGAACACGTTTGGATGGACAACATTGCTGACATGGCAAGGAGCCGACCTCAGTGGCGTTCGTGCTGTGAGTTTCTTTGTCCCTCCCTATCCTTTTTAGCCTCCTCCTCCATCTACGGTCTCATTTCGTAGCGTAAAACATAATAATTTTTCTTTTTGCCTAGTAGCCGGCTGGTAGCTTACCGGAACGATGCCTATCCGTTGCTGGTAGCTCAGCTGGCATGCAACTGTTGTATTTATTTTCCTTTTCCTTTATGTATTACGGCACAGTAGCTGAGGTGTTTCCCACCTCTAGCTGATGTGTATAATGATGATGATCGATGTTGCCTTGACTTCACTTTACCTCTCACTGTGGAGACCGTTCGCTTGCACTGTGCAACTTGTCCAGACCACCCCACCCACCCACACCTCAGACTTGAATCATCCTTCCGCCCCAGGGGTACGCACCTTTATGTTCCTCCCACTCCCCACTGACTGAGCCAAGCCACCCCAACAGCCCAGCCCATCGCGTTTCGTTTCCCACATTGTATAGCGAACCAATGAGTCAAGGGTTAACGGACCTAATAAAACAAGAGTCATGGTCCTATCGTGGACTTGGTATTGTGTGACTCCACGTATGGTGGCAAGTACCATTTGCATTCCTTTTGGACATTGTGAAGGCCGGTTGTTTCGGAACTGATCGGGCATTTTCGAGGTATGTACCTATTGTATTTTAATTACTATTTGAATAGTACCGTAGTTAACGTCTCGGCTTCCTTTCTTGGTTGGACCCGGGAGTTTTTTCTGTCACTCGAGCCTCACAAGCGAATTTGTCGCTTACAGTATATTCCACAGTTTCCCTAAGGGACAAACATTTTGAAGCGCCTCATGGGCCCCGAAAAGTGCGTTGTAGTCTTTTCAGTGATGTGACCACCATCGAGGACAGAGATACCTACGTATGCAAGCCTTCTGCCGACTGCGAGCGGTGACCATGCAAGTCAAACCACCCCATGCAGTAGAAGTACTCAATGCATTAACAAAGTGAGACACGAACCATGGCAAGCAGCGCAATCTATCAACCTGTTCAGCCGCATTCGCACAGCTGCAGAGCCGGGCGCAATATCGCACGGATTAACCACCCCTAACCACGGTTTCAGATTCCATGATGAATGAAAACAGTGTGTGATTAATTCCATAAGGTGCGGAATGAAAGCTCCCGAGAAAACTTATTTCGATTGAAAGCCGACTTGAGCCAATGGTGTACATCCGAAGCATCAAGTCGATTCATGAATACTCACGTCCGTCAGGTAACGTACGTATCTGCCCTTTATTGACTAGCGAAATTGAACTAATAATCAGGGCAGCTGACGTAGCTATTTTGAAATGTAAACATTTATGGGTCGACCATTGCTTTTACACTACGCTTACCCGTTTCGGTAGCTACCCCTCCAGCACGCTTTGACTTCAAGATATAAAGTTCTGATTTTGGCTGGAGTTTGGTGCCTGCAGGTAACAAGACCACTTCAATCGGAATGACACCTAAGAGGTAGATCCAACTATTTCTCTTCCTTTTTACGACTGGTTAATTAAGTTGTATTTAGGCATAATATCTGATGTAGTTCTCTATCTAACGTATAGAATGAATGAGTGACGCATAACATATGGGCACGACTCACAGGAGCCCTGGCTTCTGTGTACTTTAAATTATAGTCGATAACCTAGAAGAATCCCTAAACCAAAAGAAGTGGAACGAAGCATGACAGATTCATCAGCAACCACCTTATCACAAAAACGAAAAGAATAACGAAAAAATGTAGTTTTATGGACCTCGTACTGAACCCAAGAGAGCTTACTGTAGACATTTAAGTTTGTTAATTAAGTGAGGTTCATCGCAGCCTGTTTCCAAATCAGCTAGTCGTCCACATGCCCTGTTCAAGCAGGCTCTTAGGTCAGCTTGTCAATGGTGTTATCCTAACTCTTGGGAGGCCGTTAGTCAAATAATAAAGCTGGTTTGTTTCCTAATTCCCGAGCTTTTGGTGGCCCTGCGACTAGCTTGCAGTCGATAAGTAATACCCACAAAATTTAATTAGTAGATTCATGGCTTTACTTACTTTGACACTTGAATATTCATTACTGACACATCCTTTTATTTGCAAGGCAGCATACATACCGCTGTCATAGCTGAGTTGCTGCCGATTATTTTCAACATATGCTCATTCTATTCATTTCAGAGAAGCGAACCAAGCGATGGTTCGAACAGAGAGAAGCAAAATTAACCTTTAGTGGTGTCAAATGAGATATCAAGTTTGGTTCAGCTGGCCCGCTTCAACACACACAAAGTGCGATGGATCTGATCGCCTCAGGCTAAGTTGTTATCTCAGTGAAGTGACATGAAAACAGAAACAACGTCAAAGGTATTGGGATGGTTGGATCAGGAAGACAGTAGAAGGAAGCAAAACTACGCGAGTCACCGACCCGTGGCATCATTTCGGATGCGTTATCCAGCCAACACCATAAAACTACGGACTGCACAGGAGGGCGGCGTGAACCATCGGTTCGATCAGTCTCGTTAAGCAAACTCGCCTTGTTGCGTAACAGCCGTGGAATGCGTTTAATTGTGCACAGCCCCGGTGGACAACGCACACACAGAAAAGCAATCCAGTAGTATCGAGAGAGCAAGACTTAGTCAGCGTATGCTGTTATCATTAAAAACAGGACCAGTTTTAAAGCTCCAAATGGTAAATAAGAGTAATCGGTCAGCGGCGCAATCAAGTATGAGTTTTGTCTATTGGGCACTGATGGACATTGGTCCGTAGGGTGAACTGTAGCTGTGGCTAAAGATTGTGATCCTATTTCCCGTTGCATATTTATTGTTACCACCATGTTTCTCCTGTCTACTATACTTTCATCGCTCGCATCTATTCACGGACAAATAAGACCTGAATTCCCTAGACTTCATTCTACCCCCGCTGGTCTGTCTTTGCTTATTTCGATATACTACCATATTTTCGTCTGTAAATGGATCTCCATGGAACGTTTTCTCAGACCGGAACATTTAGACGCTAATCCCATTAATCTGAATGCATATAAACAGCGGATTCACCGGTACCAGATCCTTGGTAATTGTTTAGTCTATCAAAATGCGCGATCATGATACTATATTGCTCAATCGGTTTTCAGAAATACATCAGAGAGCAAGAGCTTCAACGAAGTCATGCATTCACTGGAGAGCCTTTAGAGAAAAAAGCAGCGGTGCGTCGGTACATACTACCGACGCTTCGCTGCCACGTAATCATCACGTTGCGCGTGGGCTAGTGATACTGCATTGGTCGCCCTGTCCCTACGCAGGCTTGAACCCGCGCCCTAGGATTACAAGGCAGGCTTGGGATCCTCAAGACTACACGCTTTGATATCAGGCTCAATGTGTGGTTTTTTCGCTCCAACTTCTATCTACGCGCAAGTACAAATAGAATGTACTTTAGAACACTTCGCCTAAAAGATCAATGTCCTTGCTAAAAATGCAATTTCAAAGCAATTGGGGCGGTGTGAAATCGTGATAGCATCATCGATGAAGCCTTTGTCAGGAGGGGATACATTTTCCTCAGACTCGACATCGCTAAGCGGAATGCTGCACGTTAGATTTTTGAATTGCATTCGATTTAGCGAAATCCTTTTAAATCGCACATTAACCCCCACAGTCATACCAAACTGTTCTAATCTCAACGTCATCTGAATTATTGTCCAATAGATTTGAGTTACCATCCAAAACCTACCAAAATCCCCATCACGATCACTATACGTTGCTTTTGCGTCCGACGGGATGTGTTGCTTCTTCGGTTTCGCTCAACATTCGGCTCGGGCGGCAGTTTGTACCAGTTTTGGGAAGAAGAGACACTTCAGAAGAGTTTGCGTCTAAAGCCAATCAAAGAAGAATATTCGTCAAGCAAATTCACTACTTCCTCACTCAACAATTGCAGTTGTTCCTAGTTGCCTAATGTAGATTATCAATAGGATACAGCTTACTGGTTCTAAACTGGAAGCGCTGCTTGACACCAGTAATTCTGAAACCTACATCTCTTATGTCGTTGCCCACAAAGCGGAATGAAAGCTTAATCCATCTCGCATGCGCATATCCATAGATTCAAACCGACTGTTGGGTATTGCAATGGGAAGTACACATAAAGGGGAGGCTTATCGCAACTTCAGAGTTTATGCGTTACATAATCTGTGCTCAGATACTTTTCTCGGACACGGCTTCCTTTAGCTACAACAGAAATTAGCGCAACGTACATCGGTCGAACGGCGCGACACTTGCACAAGCGCGTAAATGAGCGTTACCCACGCTGGTTGCAACCTGGCAGGGCTGGTGTAATTAGCTGTTTCGTTCCGGTCTATGTCGTTGACACAGCATCAGGTGGACCTAAAACATGTCTTCACATTGGTGTGCAAGGTCTCGTCCCATCCATCGAAAAGTCCACTACTCCCTACATTTGCGATGGCGGAAGCAATTTGTGTCACCTTGTTTTGATCGTCCTTATGCTAGCAGTAGAAACTAGTCCAGGCGCTTCAGCTTCTCTGGTCAACGAAAACGGAAGACATAAGTCAACTCCCCTATGTCAGATTCTTTAACGCGCAACTAACCAATTAACGCGCAGTTCATTTGTTGGAGTAAGTTAAATCTGTACAACTTCATCGGAACATACTCAAAAATACCATAGAAGATAACGGACACTTATTGATACTGTAAGCGTTAACCAATTTCTTATCTAACCTTTACCAATGTCTGAATTACAGTATTATTGGGCTCACACACGTAAGTGATCATGACTGATGTGCAACCGTTCCCTGAATCGAATGGCGGTGAAATGTAAATCCAACAAAGAGTTGAGCTTCTACACAGCTTTGGCCTCCACGGCTTGTTATGGCAGACTGCACCAAACATTTACCACCCCCGTTCGTAGCACAGGGAGGGGAACCACTTTTATATCCGACACCACAAGCTTGTACCGGTGTCCGCATATGCTACATAGCTTTTACAAGTGAAGAGGCGGCCTTAACATAGGGAAGTCACCTAGCTGTGATACACGGTAGGTCGCGATGAGATCAACTCGCATCCGATGCCAGGACACGGTGTTCAGTCCTAGTTGCTCTCAGCGGTCTTCGTACGACAACCATCGCAAACCTTGGATGAGCCTGATAGTGGCGTGTTGGGCGCCTTCGATCTTCTTTAACTAGCCTCGTATGATCGGACCGAAGGCGAGCGAGCCGCACTCTAGTACTGTTCGTTTGATAGTAGAGCAGAAGCAAGTGGCGACCTCTTGGGACCAAGTTTAAGAGCTGCGTCTGATCGCCCATAGCATGCGCAATCCGTTACGGTATACTTTGTTCTTGTTATCCATGCTCTTCAAGTCGCAGCGTGATAGTACACTTAAGTCCTTCACGGAAAGCGTAGGATGTATCAGTTGGTTGTCGATGGCTTTTGAATCCCAACTTAGTTGAGTTGACCGTGAGGTGGATTTCTGCAGACCACATGCAGAGGTGATTAATGTGTTTCTGAAATGTGCCGTAGTCATCTGGGATGCTAATCACTCACCAAATTTTCTGGGCGTCGGCAAACAGAACGCATGGAAACCGAAAAAGCTGAGGCAAGTCGTTGCTATGGATTAGGAACAGAGTAGGCCTTAGCACTGTGCCTTAGAGTACGCCACTAGTAGATGTGTACCAGTCAATTAGATGGCCGTCGACGTGTATCCTCCACTTTCATCCAACGAGAAACTCCCGGATCCGCTGGAATAGTTATCCACCAACACCGCACACCCCAATTGTGACGGAGGACCTAATGATTTACCTCATCGAACGCCTTGCTAAAATCGATATGGTTTACGTCAATAGATTTCCCTTGGTTCACTGCTTGCAACACTCATGCCTTGTCACCAGCATGTTGGTAGCGCATGAACTACCTAGCATAAAACCGTATTGTGCGGGCGTCAGTATCTTTTGATTGGAACAACTATGGTAAACCGTTCTTCACGATCTCGGTAAGCTTGGCCAAAATAGGTGTCATACGAATTGATCTGAAGTTGTTCACTTTGCTTGATTCACCGACTTTCTGAATCGGCTGTAATGTGCATTTCTAGTCACTGGACAAAGCATCTTCGGACAGCGACCTATTGAACAAGTCAGTCATGGCAAGTGAGATGATAACTGATAGAGACTTGAGAATCAGTAGGTTGAGTCCGTCATGCCCATCAGGTTTGGTGCCATCAATGTTAGCGAGTTGTCGACGCGCCTCTTCAACATCACAATCCAGACTGTCGAGTTCGGTAAGTGTGGTGCACGTTTAACTCAGTACAGACACCCGTTCATTTGCAAATACTGAGGCGAAGTGCGCCGACAACGCGGACGCACGCTCAATACTGGAGGTTAGATGCTGTCCGTCCTAGCCCTCTATCACTGGTAGATCACCTGCCGGCTTGCGGCGCTGCTTCACGTAAGTAAATATTCTTGTCGGAACGGCCGTTGCCACTACAGCGGGCTATTCGAACTGCCTGTGCGTGCTCATCCTAGCAATGTTGCAAATATTTTGCTGCCCCCTATGCCCTTCATGATCGTTAGGAGGGCCGAAGAGGTGTTTGTCTCACAATTAGCACCACCGCCTAGTCATTTTGCCATACTCCTTGTCGAACCAATTTGGCTTGACTGGTCCAACTTTCCGACACTTCACTGGTACAAACGGAGAACTCAGTAATAACACTCCTCTCTTACAGCCATCAAATAGTCCTCCACAGATGCAATTTATGCTTGAAACCAACCCAATAGCTGTAAGCTGGCTCCAGCAGATGGGAATACAATAAAGGTAGTTACTTGCTAGCTATGAGTACTTAGTGTCCTGTAGCTGCCATTGGCTCTACGATCTGAACTTCATACACATGTATTTCACAGCTTGTCCACAACAAAGTTAAGCATGACTTAGCTGAGTGCGGCTTTATACGTGTCGATTCGCATATGTTTTTTGCTGCTCCACTATCAAGTACTGCGAACATTGCTCTGACCTCACAATGTCTGGGTATTAGTTGAACTTCAGGCTAACGTACTCGAGGACAACTGAAGTACCCATGAGTAGAAAATTTGGACGAGTTATGTGGCTTCGGAGATGTGACAGTCAACCCAAGCCACGACTCAGGGGATTGTGATAAACGGTACTCACGAGCAGCTTTCCGCGCCTGAGGTGGATCCGACACCATAGCTGCCCACACACATCATCCTTGCTTCTGTAGATGCTTACAACCTCCACACAGAGGAGACCGGATGTAGAGCAGCACGCTACCTCAAGCAGTCGAAAGTCTACGCAGCGGAAGCGTAAGTAGCACTGAGCTTGATTTCCTTGACAATCCGCTCAGTATTCAGCCATGTCTCTGCGTGCGCCACTACATCTGGCCTCTCAGATGTAACGAAACGACCGAGTTCATCACGCTTGTTCATAATACTGCAAATGCCGGTGAAAGCTACACCCAAGCTGTAGCAAGAACACCCGATCGTGCTTGAAATGCGAACAGCCTGTTTATCCTGCTCCATGAAATATTGAAATGATCCGAACATTTACGAATCTGTGTGTTGCTTTTTCATCACCAATACGTTTTTTTCAACCCAACGATTTCAGACTTGAGCCGTTCACAATTGACCGGATCCAAGTCCGGAGGAACATGGATCCAGCCTATTTAAGCGGGACAAGATCAGTCTCAGACTAGCTTCGTCCACAAAGGGGATCCTAATTGACTGACTTTGTTGATCACCTTTCTTTAACCGGGTGATTTGCCTCACTATCAACCGGTCCTCACTCATGTCGAGGAGTCTTTTAATTAGGCTCTTTCGTGTATGACACCATCGCGTGCGTAGCGAATCTGAGGAGTCGAATCACTGGGGTCTTTATGGTGGAAGATCACGAGGCTACAACGCTTTTGATTAGGGGGATGTTTATCACGATACTCATGTTATGATTTCGGAGAAAAGTTAACAACAGTCAGATGTTTTGCAAGTGTCTACTGGAACCCTTCGCTTCACGATAAATGACAAGAATATGACAAAAGTCAAATTCTGTTCCCAGAGTTTATTTACAGACTGTTTTCAACGATATTTCGGCCTAAAAATCGAATCAGTATGGCACGTCAAAAAAACGAGTTACCGCGTAGTACTCCTTGTCATTAGAACAAGGCCGGGAAAGTTTGGTATGCAGTGCTTCTTGATAGGCTTGCCTGACCGAGGACTGAGACAATTTCTCCGTTGCCAATCGGAGGGGACGCTTGGTGCGCCGCCCAGTAAATTTCATGGTGAAACGACAGCGTACCGAGGCATGATCAGAGTCGACGCAAGTACTTCAGTACGAGCGGCAATCCAGGATGGAACCATGCCACCTGTAACTTATGGCTATGTGGTCAATTTGGGTCCATCACTGGCCAGCTACAGGAGGACGCCAAGTAGCACTTCGGCGCCCACTGTGTCTAAAAGCAATGCTACTAAGAAACAACTGGTGCTCCGCACATGGTTGCAGCAGACGCTCACCGTTGTCAGTCCGTTCGGAGTTAAGCCCATAATTACCACCTAGCTGAGCTTCTGAAGAGCTCAGACGCCCTACTTGTGCGTTCATATCCCCTGCAAGTACTATAATATCTGAGCTAGTAGCACTGCGTAGTAGGACGTTCAGTTCGTGATAGAAAGTGTCCTTGACTGCATTAGAACTGCAGTCGGTGGGGTCATAAACGGAAATCACAAACAACCAGCGTTTTGTACAAATTCGTGTATCAACCTTAGCTGATGTCGTCAAACGGGCTGCACATAAACGCTTGTTTCCCGCAATCCAATCAACCAACGATGGTACAGCATTGGACCTTAGAATGATACCTACATCAACTTGAACCGTGAGTGATGCATCGGCGTCTCCGGACGCGCGCAACCAATAACGAGAGGATAAGCCGGGTGCAGTTAATTCAATAACCCCGTTAGGGTCATTGATCCTAGTTTCGGACACACAACACACATCAATACCCAGTGTGTCCAACGTACGTGCAAGTGCAGCCTGTTGACCCATTTGTCTTAGAGTCCGAAGGTTGAACGACGCCAGGGAAGCAGGACAACGTGGCTTTATAAGGGACTGTTTTCGATAGGCGTCCGATAGGTGCTGTGGGAAGGTGGCTGCCATTGGTTCTACTCCAGTGACATTTCGGTTGCTGTCAATTAAACTGCAATTTGTAGAAGGAAGGTTAGTAATGGGGGTCGGAATGGGAATAAGAGAAAAAGGTGGAAAAGGAAGAAGAGAGACGCCAGCAGTAGCAGGTATTCGCTTATCCACCCTGCTGTATGCAACAGATAAGGCGACCCTTGATAAGCTGCGTGGCGGTCGATGCAGGATAAAGTTTACGTTTGAAGTAAAAGTCATGGTTGTATGGGAGCTGGGTTACTGCCACGGCGCCCAGACCTAGACAGTTGGAGGATTAGGTTCCCCAACCAAAGCATTTGACTCAAAAGCCTGTCCGAAAGGCAGCGGGGAGATGGCAATGATTTAGTTTTGTAGAATTGGACGGCATCCCATTTCGAACTCACAGCTCCGTAGGATCAGCAGATTGAGTTTGTCTGACCTCTCACCATTGACCAATCAGGTTTTGGCATTATGAATAACTCGGGACCAAAGTGACAGCTACTTGTGGAACACAAAGCTATGGTAAGATATCCTAAGTTAAACGGAGACAACCCACTTGTTTATGGTCGAAAAATTCAGAATCAAGGGTGAAGCCTAACAATATCATAATTTCCTCGAAATATTTCCAATGCATGGAGAAACCCAACGAGAAATAATCTTATTGATACAGCAAGGAAAACACCAAGCGGAGGCCTCTGCGAGGTCCACCATCCGACCATCTCATTCTTTTATTCCTTCTTGTTGCATCTTCATCATACTTTTATTATTATTGCCACTAATTTGCTGATGTAGCCAGGGCAATTGAATCAACTTCACTCCGATGCGACGTTCAAAGGCTATCACTGAACTCATCGTTGACTATGATTTACCTTCTCTTGCGCTTTGTTTTTGCTATTGGTCTTTTAGCTTACCGACTGATAATTCGCACAATTGCCTATCGGATGTAGCAGTCTGAAGGTTTCCCCGATTTACCTGAGTTCGTTGTGTAGAATTTTAACTAAAATTACTTTTACGTTGTACGGTTAGGCGATGGGTACAGAATGTTGAACTGTAGGTTTGTTTGGAACAAGAACCGTCTTTTGCTCCGTGCTTCCGCTAGTCTCTACATCTTGCGACCGCAAAGTATGCTGTGTCTTTCCATCCCCCGGCTAGTAACACTCATTCTTGTCCTGTCTTATAGCTAGGATAACGTAGAATATTTTACCATACAAATAAAAGCTCTTTGGATCAGCAATCTATGCTTGAGGAGCTATCCTTTTCGTGAGCGTTTATTTGGCACAACTAAGGGGCTAAACCACCGACATTTGCTTTCTCGCCGACTAAAGATTTTGAAGTGAGCGCTGCTTTTCTACCCCATGCAATGGTATTAATAACCACCTATACGTCTGTAGATTTCTCGATTCGAGCTTCAGTTTCGCCTCTCCTTTGGTGAGTTCAAACGGGAACTCCCATTTGACCCTGTTTGTCGACAGCTTTCGCATCATCACGGCTATCCAAATTTAATTCGGTTGGATCCCTGTTCACTGCTTAAGCGGTCAAGCCGGGATAACGGTTGCTTTTGACAGTGAACCGATATTAAGTTCTTTGAAATGCGGGGTACTATTGGTTGTTTTTCTGCTCTCTTTTTACATAGGTTTAACGTAGTGGATATTGACCCATTTGGATCTGCCAGCCCGTTTCTGGATGGAGCAGTACAATGTCTTCATAGCGGTGGACTGCTTTGCGTAACTGCAACGGACATGGCGGTTATGTGTGGTAGCACCCCCGGAACCTCAATGGGCAAATATGGTGGCATGGCAGTCAAAAACAGCGCACAGCAAGAAACGGTTTGTACCATTACTTTTGTGTTTCTTCCATACTGGACTATTTGCCTTTATGCTGGTTTCGTCAGCTCGAGTAGTGCCAGGTAGTATATCAAGGATGAACATGTAGTTTCTATTCTTTCTTGTTTTACGAAATCCGAGCACTACCCTTTCTAACTGTTAGTTGAATGATGTGAACGTTCCTTACTATCTCCCTGAAATTCTGCCTAGTTGACAGAAGTCGCTTGAATGTCTTCAGTGCACCCTATGCTTTCACTCCTACTTGTTGATCAGTTAGAGATGACTAGCACTTGCTTAATAATCAGGTTATTTAGCCACACTGATGAGGTCGATTATCTTCATGGTCTCCGTCGTCATTGAGGCCGTCGGATTTTAATTTATCCTCTGTGAGTACCGTTTATCGCAGCCTTACAATGCAACCAGTGTTTCTGCTCTAAAGACATCGATGGACAAATTGTATTTGCCCACCATCCCGTGATCGGTATTTCCAATTTCTAACGGGATCATTGCGTTAGCAATGGAGTGTCCACTCGTACACATTTGGCGACTGACTTTTTGGCACTAAACTGAAGCGTCTGTTAGTTCACACTGGTTAAGTCATGTCCTTCGCGAGCTTATGGGAGTGACCTACATTAGCGGGTCTGTTTGCAGTATTGAGCCTTATGAGCAATGGCGTAAAATCACCAGTGATAGCAAGGTGAAGAACGGATGAACCAATCAAGGTTCGGAGATCGAGACGAGAGTCTCGGATCGGCCTTATTAACGGTTAATCGATCCATCCACTTTGGTACAGTTAGCAAATCCTTGACCTTTGTGCATTCGGTATCTTATTTCTGGTTGTCGAACTTTAAATACAACAGTTTTAGCTTTACTGGATCCATCTATAACGGATACTCGTTTTTCTATTTGTTTACGTTTTTCTCCGTATTTGTACCTCCTTCAGTGGAATGGGAATTGAACCAGCTAAATTTTACTTAACCGAACAGAAGTAAATTCTATGCTACTTGGCTGAAGGCGCTTTATCGGTTAACGTTTTTGGATTGCTGTATGTTATCTGGTGGTCAACTTGACTTAATTTACTTCGCTCGTCCGTAGTACGCTTGCGGATTTTCATAGCGCCGCTCATCTATGGGGACGACATAAGGTCAGTCCAATGTTGTGCTCAACATTTCATCGCATTCGGTGCTACTGAATGGACCATAGAAATGCCCACTGGTCGAAGAAATTAAAATGTTTGTGCTCTGTAATAAAGGATGGCTGCGGAGCATTGCTGATATCCGGCAAAATCACCGAGTTATCATTTGTGAAACGCACCATTTGGTGTTCGGTTAACAGTCCTAGTACCACGATGGACCATCTTTTACACTTAAACATTTTTGTTAAGTTCAGAAAGAGAAACAAAACACGAAGCTTTAAGCGAGCAATAGTTTTCGTTTAATTCATCCTCAGGCTCATACAATAATGTACATTAGGGTAAGGTCTGTTGCAATCGTCGGCATAACAAAGAAACAATTGATCAGAAAATTTAACTTTTGCTCATGTTGGAAGCCATCTGATCACATGACTGAAGTCAGGTGGAGTTGCGGAGTGCCATCGCTTCCTTCCCGTCTGGTGGTCGGCCGCGGAAGTTGTAGCGTTTGTATCATCTTCTTCTGGACACACTTCCAGGGTTGTCAGGCGTATGCATACTACCTCAGCGGTGGCAACTAGGCTTGATCTTACACGACGGTTATGCCTTGGTGGTATTCTGTAGAGAATCTGAAAGGATGTTTGTTCGTTTATCTGGTGGCCTGTGTTGATTAGATGGTTCGTAATCGCACTGTAGTTTGTCCTATTGTCGCGATTGTAGAGCCAACCTGGGAGGTGGTTTTTAATTCTCTTACCTAAATACCTGGTCTTCCGTTCAATGTACCTGGCCCCAAGGGCAGGTGAACCGGTAGATTAACCTGATCTTATCTTTCGAGCGCCCGCCTTGGCGTGTGTTGACAATACTTACTTTTGTGTCTAACCACAAAGTAGGACACCAAATGTTACTGCATTAAGGACAGAGAAACTTAACCTAGCTGCTGAATAGTCTTTCTGGATTGGGGCTTTGGGATCACTACATCATTGGTTGAATTCCGTACCCGAAGTGATCCAGTTGCGAAACCTTACCCATCGTCTTTCGCATCATCTTGCATTTCCCAGAATCTTTTAATTTTCGCTAACTCCTTTCATTTTAGATTTCTGGCGCTAGCTTTGTCCTTGTTCACTTTTTCGTTTCTACTACTTATTTTTATAACAACGCAAACCATGATACCTGGATGCACTGCACTTCAATGCATGGTCATCGGCTTTATGCTGCTGCTAAGTTCCAAAAGGTTTCGGGAGCCATTCGGCGTTTTCTTGACACGTGTGACGACTATGTGACTAAGTGATTTCGATAATCTTCCTTTAAAATGATTTCGACTACTGGGACAGAACGAGGGAAATTAAATGGACCCACCACTAGTTGGTTCGGCTGACATGTACGCCACCGAATCTGGGAACACTTTTCTTGCGGAGACAACTGAATAAGTCTATGCTGTTCGCAGGCCATATGAATATGCAATCGCGAACAGTGGCAGAGTTCTAGAGCGTGGGGGGTTCGTGGTTGGTCACCTGATTCCTTCTTAAACCCCACAGGAGCTCGTAAGACGCTGTGTCAAAACCAATGTGCCCGGCAATAATGTCACTGACCACTCATCTCTACAACCAGAAGTATCCAACAAAGAGTAGGTGCACAGCCTCGATGGCCACAGGCTTCCACAAAGGCGTATAAACCACTTGGCTGTCATTGGCTTTCGTGCTCACTCGCGAGTTTTGTGGTTCAGCAAATCTCTCATAGCCTCCATACAGTTTCAATCGTGCTCCTTGGGGCTCCTGAGTAGTTTGTTTCTGCTAGAAAGCCGTGTTATCCTCACGGTAGTAGTCGGCTCCCAAGGGTTTGTGATATATGTCAATCGACCCGTTGCCTTGCTAGTTAGGCTCCTGGTGTCCTATCAGAATGACACTGGACCTTGCCGCGGTGCGATGGTTTTCGTGCCTCAGTGATCAGTTAAGCTGCACTGGTTGGTGCTTTTTACACCTTCAGCGTCACTCATATATATATATATATTTTTTGCAACAGTCTATAAATAGACATTGCACCATCGGAAACCATGGAACTCAAAACAAGGTACAGAAATAGTAAAAGAAAAAACAACACAACACAACAATGTCCACGGTTTCGTCAGAGGGCGTCACTCATACCATATTGATCAGTAGTTAGAGGCCAGACAAACTCAGTCTCCTGGTTCCGCAGGCTGGGGGTTGGCGTGAAGGTGGCTCCTTATTACATAAAACGGACTGCTTATAGTCTACTGCCGAACCCGCCGCATTGCAGTCAGGTTTGTTAATCAAAGGCTTTGCTTGAGAGCCCTAATCGTCCATCTGTCTAGGCCTGGGCAACCTGACAATATCCTGCGAGCGCAATACTATGAACCTTTTCTCAGACAATTTCATGATGCTCTGGCTGCTGCAGAGCACCCAATCTACTGCATCATGCAGGATGGATAGGGGTTCGAATATCTTTCCCTTCTCACATTTTTTCACCATAAACATCCGTTCCAACTTCACTTTTATTCCCCGCGTTTTAAACCCATTAACTCTTGGCCCTCCTCCGCCATGCTTTGATAGGCGTTTATCTTCTAGTTTCAACTCATATGCAACCATCGGCCGGTGGCCGAGTGGTCTGCACGTTTGCTTTGCAACCAAAAGTCACCGGTTCGACTCCGCGTAGGGGTGGGCGTCCTCGCGGTATACTCAGCCCGCGCGCGACTGGTGGTGGTCGCGCGGCAGCGAAGCGCCGTTACGGCGTATAAGCTGACACCTTTCTTCTTTCTGTCGCAACGAGATGACCTTAACGCGATGCGACGGTTTGCATACCTCCTTGACCCATTGAGCTATACTGCGTGCTGCTTCCGGGCTCCTTGTCAGCTACTCCTACCAGATTGGTCAATGGTGTGAGGTCAGGAAAACTCAATCTCCTTGTCCTCCAGGTTGGGGGTTCGAAATGGGATGGCGTCCATTTCTATAAAACTAATTCATTTCCACCTCCCCGCTGCTTTTCGGAAAAGCTTTTGAGTTAAATGCTTTGGTTGGGGACCCTAATCGTCCAACGGTCTAGGTTTGGTCGCCCTGGCGGTATCGCAGCCCACATACGACCATGAGAATTTCACCAAACTAACTACATTCTGCATCGACCGTCGGATAGATTATCAAGGGTCGCCTTATCTACTACATACAGCAGGGTAATTAAGCGCAAACATGCTACTGCTGGTGTCACTCTTCTTTCTTTTCCAACGGTTTTTCCTGTCCCGACCCCCATTACTAACCTTCCTTCTATAATTCCCAGCTTTAGTGACTGCAACCGAAGTGCCACTGGAGTAGAACCAACGGCAGCCACCTTCCCACAGCACCTATCGGACGCCTATCGGCAAAAGTCCCTTATAAGGCCACCCTATCCCGTTTCCATGGCGACATTCAACGTTCGCACTCTAAGACAAACAGGTCAACAGGCTGCACTTGCACGTACGTTGGACACACTGGGTATTGATGTGTGTTGTGTGTCCGAAACTAGGATCAATTACCCTAACGGGGTTATTGAATTAACTGCACCCGGATTATCCTCTCGTTATTGGTTGCACGTATCCAGAGACGCCGATGCATCACTCACGGTTCAAGTTGGTGTAGATATTATTCTAAGCTCCAAGGCTGAGCCGTTGTTGGTAGATTGCATTCCAGTGAGCAGTCGTTCGCGTGCAGCTCGTTTGACGATATCGACCGAGGTTAATTCACCAAGTAGTACAAAACACTGTTTGTTTGTGATTTCCGTTTATGCCCCCACCGACTGCAGTTCAAATACTGTCAAGAACACCTTCTATCACGAACTGAACGCGCTACTACGCAGTGCTATTAGTTCAGATATTATAGTACTTGCAGGGATATGAACGCACAAGTAGGGCGTCTGAGCTCTTCAGAAGCTCAGCTGGGTGGTAATTGTGGGCTTAACTCCGAACGGAGTGACAACGGTGAACGTCTGCTGCAACCATGTGCGGAGCACCAGTTGTTTCTTAGTAGCACTACTTTTCGTCACAGTGGGCGTCCTCCTGTAGCTGGCCAGCGATAGACTCAAATTGACCACATAGCCATAAGTTACAGGTGGCATGGTTCCATCCTGGATTGCCGCTCGTACTGTAGTACTTGCGTCGACTCTGATCATGCCTCGGTACGCTGTCGTTTCACCATGAAATTTACTGGGCGGCGCACCAAGCGTCCCCTCCGATTGGCAACGGAGAAATTGTCTCAGTCCTCGGTCAGGCAAGCCTATCAAGACGCACTGCATACCAAACTTCTGCTGTCTTGTCCTACTGACACTGTGCTTCAGTGTAATAGGATCTCGGCAGCCATACACTGCGCATGAGCATCTGTTTGTGGCACTATCCATCGTCACCGCACCAGTCACTGGATATTCGGGAGGTTGGTGAACCTGTTGGAATATAGAAGAAACCTCCCGACTAGCTCTGTACATAATGTGACCAGACGGACTATTAGGCGTGAGCTGAAGCGTAGCCTACGTGCTGACAAGGAAGCCTAGTGAACCAGTAGATCTCAAGAAATGGAGGAAGCAAGGGCAGTAGGTAATTATCGCAAGTTCTTCCAGCTAGTCCGCACCACTGGTCCCAGTAAGCCAGGCGTCAGTGAGACAATCCGAGACAGCGCGGGTACACTGATTGGCAATACAGAGCGCCGTATGGCTCGTTGGGCGGAACAATTTCAAGATCAGTTCAGCTGGGCCGCTGCTCCCGGACCTCTTCCTACTCAGGTGATGCAGGACGAGCCATGGACGGTTAGCTTAGAGCCTCCGTCAATGGCCGAGGTCTGAAACGCGATCACAGCCCTCAATCGTTTTCGTGCCGCTGGCCCGGATCCCCTCCCACATGCACTATTTAAGGATAGAGGTGAGGTCATCTGCAAAGCACTTGTCTCCCTATTCGAACGTATTTGGAAGGAAGAGTTTCCCGGCTAATTGGAGCGAATCGATTATAGTGGCAATATACAAAAAGTACAGTCGCACAGACTGTTCTAACCACAGGGGTATTAGCCTACCGCAGGTGGGGACAAAAGTACTGGCCTCCATTCTCGTTTGTCGCCTCAATGCGAAACGGTAATCTCGGATTAGGGAAGAGCAGGCCGATTTCCGCCCAGGACGGGGCTGCATAGACCATATATTCAGTGCGGCAGGTGTTAGAGTAGCGCCACGCATACCGCAGACCGACAATAGCTGTGTTCCTCGATTTCAGGAGTGTTTTCAATTCAGTCGATCGATAGATTCTGTTTGAAATACTTGCGCAGAAAGGTGTTCCCACGAAATATGTGAACATCCTACGTAATCTATACTCAAACACTACACGCCGCGTCAGGGTTGTCCGATATCCTCATTTTTGTCCAATTTTCTTGTGGACTCCATCATGTTGTTTTCCCTTGCGGAATCTTAACATGTAGGTGTTGTGGTCCTGCCCGGTGAAAGAGTAGTTGATCTTGTTTATGCTTACTTACTTACTTACTTTTCGACGATGTTGCATCGGCACAATCAACCCTGGATAGCCTGTCTAGAGTGGTCCCGTTCTTTGGTATGCACTTCGCACCGTTAAAATGCAGTGTTGCTGCAGGACCACCAGCCACTTTATGACTCCTTGACCTATGCTAACGAGGAACTCGAGGTGGTTGATCACTTCACTTTTCTTGGTAGCTGCATCATCAACGACGAGCGCATAGAAACTGACGTCAGCTCATGCATTGCAAAGGCCGAAGCTACCTTCTTGAACCTGCGGCATGTTTGGCGACAGAAGGGAGTTTCCCTCCGTCTGAAAGGCCGTGTATACAAGGCCACAGTGAGGGCCGTCCTGCTCCATACGGTAGTGAGACTTGGCCCTTCGGTCTGAAGTTCGGAGTTGCCTTCAAGTCTATGATCATCACTGTCTGCGAAGTATTGCTGGTGTCGGATGGCAGCTGCGTGTCCGCAAATGATGATGTGCGTAAGCGAGTACTAGGTAGTGATAATCATGCTAGCTCCCTAGAACAACAGATAGCACTACATAAGTTGCGTCGGTGAAGCGTCGGTACTGCGTTCCGACATACTGCCGATCCTTTTTTCTTTCTTGGTTTCTTTTTTTAAGAGTTTTGGCTCACTGAAGCAATCCCATCTTATTGCAGCGTAGCGGATACTGTGCCCTTCAAAAAGGTTGCACGGACAGGTTTCTCTAACCACAGAGAAATTAGCCTCATCTACGTTGCACACATTGTTCATCGCTCTGCTTTTATATAAACTCAGCCTGGTACGCGAACAGAACATACGCGAAGATCAGGTTAGCTTCCGGGCCGGCCAGGGTTGGATCGACTACATCTTTGCGCTCCGTCAAATACTCGAGCGTCGTCAAACATTCGGCTGACCGACAATCGTTGTCTTCTTAGACGTACTAGCCGTTTTTGACTTAGTTGATCTAGCTGTTCTCTGTAGTCGTCTCTGGAGAAGGGGAGTGCTGGACTAGTATGTCGACATTTTTCCAGCTTTTTATTCTCTAGCTCCGAGTAGATTGCGTGTGTACGGCAGACTTTCGCCCCCTTTAGTATCATAAGTGGCTTGAGACAGGGCTGCCCTGCATCACTCCTCCTGTTCAATTTCCCTATAAACATCCTAGAGAGCGCTCTTGAGAACTGTGGATCCAATGGCGTCAAACTACTTTTGGAGGACAGAATTTGCGATTAGGAGTTTGCAAACGACATCGCCGTACTTTGCGATTCCTCACAGGCCACCCAAAATGTGATCTGAAGGTTGGAGATGTCTGTCTCTCAGTTTGGAATGGCCTTCGCTTCATGGAAGTGTAAAGTTTTCCTACAAGATTAGTTAGGAGCTGCTCCTAGTCTTAACTTTTCAGGCCATGCTCTGGAAGTAGTTGACAAGTTCATTTACCTTAAAAAGCTGCGTCATCTCTAACGGTTTAACAGATAAAATCTCTTTGCGTCTCTAAAGTCCGGCTTGCTTCTGCTAATCTTCATCTCTGGTCTCAACGCGACCTAAGCCCATCTCTGAAGGGCGTAACGAGTGCTCCTGAGCTACATTTGCGAGACTTGACCTGTTCGTGCTAAGGACTTTTGAAGGCCATCTGTTTTTGATCGCCGCTGCCTTCGAATCATTGCTGGTGTACGATGGCAACATCACAATAGTGGTGAGAATGTTCGTGGAAGGATTTTCAGATCAGACAGACTACCCCTGCCACTGAGCCGCATAATTTCATAGCACATGGTTCGGTGGCTTAGGCAAGTGCTTCGCATGTCTACCGAGCATCAACCTCCCCGTACACTCTTCGCACCCGCAGAAGTCAGCTGCAAGCGAAGACAAAATGGTCAACAAATGGTTTGGGCCAAAAATATGAAATCGATGACTTTAAATTTTGTCGCGGAAGGTTGCTTTCGGCTCCCTGGCTGAGTGTTCAACAGTAACGAGCACATACCGCTGGAAACGCTTTCGGACATGGCACCTAACCGTGCACACAGACGAACATGTGAGACTTAACTCCCGTAACTACGGTTTTACACTTTTCTCTCTCTTTACTTTCGTTGTTTTGTATTTACCCATATGTTCTGGCACTGCCAATAGTATTATTGGTCAAGTGTTATATATATATATATATATATATATATATATATATGCGTTTTGGTGGTTCGCCTAGGTCAAAACACACCCGACTGAACGCCTACAAGTTGGAGGACCCAATGGTGAAGAGAGATTATCAACAAAAGCTTCGCGAAAAGCTCCCTCTCTCTCACACTCTGGATGTTGATCAACACTGGTCAAGTCTCCAGCAAGCCTTATTGTCGGCCGGTTTGTCCAGCTGTGGCCTCACTCGCTCCACTCCCAAATGCTGGATCTCGGGAAGATCATCAGAATTGCTGGATCGTCGACGGGCGGTGCCTGCTGGCGCAGAGTACAACGAACACCGCCGGTCTATTACGCAACAGCTGAAAGCAAGCCTTCGCTCTGATCGTGAATCTTGGTGGTCAAAACAAGCTGGTGAGATGGAAGCCGCTGCATCAGCTGGCAACTTCCGCCTTCTGTTTTACATCATCAGGGCCACTGGTTGCAATTTCCACGCTATCAGCCAGACGATTTGCGAGGCAGACGGCACGAAGATCATCAACCTTCGCAGACGATTGGGTCGCTGGTCAGAGCATTTCGCTCTTCAATTCAACCACCCAACACAGTCCCCTGCGACACCTCCTGCCCCAATGTATGATGCTTGGCCTGTCTCCACAGCCCCCCCAAATGAAGCAGAGATTCGAAATGTAGTCCAATCTTTGAAACGCCACAAAGCTTCGGGTCCCGACAACCTACCACCAGCTCTATTCAAAGATGGTGGGAGTGTACTTATCAGCGAAATCCTATCGCTGTTCACGAAAGTTTGGACTGAGGAGAAGGTTCCGAGCTCATGGGGAGAATCGGTCATTGTCCCGATTCACAAGAAGGGTTCCCGCGCCGATTGCTGCAACTACCGCGGAATCTCCCTAATCTCTGTCGCATCCAAAATCTTCGTGTCGGTCCTACTTGGCAGGCTTTCAACGACTAGAGAGGAGTTTTCCCGAGAAGAACAAGCTGGATTTCGTCCAGGCCGTGGCTGCATCGACCAAATCTTCACGCTTCGGCAAGTTCTCGAACTTCGTCACATCCACCGGCGGCCAACAATCGTAGTGTTTTTGGACATCCGAGCGGCATTTGATTCAGTAGATAGATCTGCGTTGTGGAACTGTTTACTGAAGAAAGGTGTGCCCGACAAATTTGTGACCATCCTGAAAGTACTTTACAGTCACACGTCGGGCAAAGTTAGGGCTTACGGCACGCACTCCTCTTCATTCGCTGTGACCAGCGGTGTTCGCCAAGGTTGCCCTATTTCACCTTTCCTCTTCAATTTCGCCATCGAAGATGTTCTCCAAAGAGCACTGGAAGGTGTCCAGGACTGCGGTGTTGAACTTCTCCCTGGAGACAGACTCACGGACTTGGACTACGCCGATGATATCGCCTTGCTGGGGGACGACCCACATTCCGTCCAGAACGCTCTGGACCGCTTGGCGATGGAGGCGTCTAAGTACGGCCTGTGCTTCACTCCGGGAAAATGTAAAACGCTGCTCCAGGATTGGCAGGTGCCTGAACCCGCGCTCACCATTGCTGGACATGTTCTGGAGCAAGTCCCTTGCTTCACTTACCTAGGGAGTTGCATCACGGCTGGTGGCGGTGTTGGAGATGAAGTCTCACAACGGATTGCAAAGGCCCGCCTTGCATTCATCAAACTGAGACATCTATGGCGTCGTCGTGATGTCAGTCTCAAGCTCAAGGGCAGGGTGTACAATGCTTCCGTCCGTGCAGTACTCTTGTACGGCTGTGAGACTTGGCCTATTCGCTCGGAAGATATGAAGCGGCTATCAGTCTTTGATAATCGCTGTCTACGAAGGATTGCTAGGGTGTGGTGGCAACACCACGTAAGCAACGCAGAGGTGAGAGACCGCGTGCTTGGGGCGAATAGTGCCAGTCTTCAAGATGTTATTCTCCGACATCGCATGCGCTGGCTCGGGCATGTTCTGCGCATGCCAGCCCATCGCCTTCCACGTCGAGCGCTATTTGCACTCCCAGGGAGCGATTGGAAAAAGTGCCGCGGTGGACAGCCGATGACGTGGAGAAGGAGTATGAAGAAGGCGACCTCAAGTTTGGCAGCAGTCGGACCAGTCCGCCTTCCAGGTTGGGGACCACGAGATGCTGAATTGCAGTGGTTGGAAACATTGGACGTCATGGCCCGCAACAGACATCAGTGGCGGCAATGTTGTTCCGCAATTTCACCATCCCTTTGATACACACAAAAACTCACAAAACAAAACAAAAAAAATACAAAATGGCGTGTGTAAAACCAAAAAAATTCGTTTCCCATATTTTTTTAATCGCATTAGTGTCCCCATCTTCTTCACCTTTTTCTTCTGCCATGGTTCTGATGGCACAATGTCTGTTAACAGACTGTGAATATATATATATATATATATATATATATATATATATATATATATATATATATATATATATAGCGAGAGAGAGAGAGAAGGTGATGGCTGCACACCTGCGTACTATGGAGTGTATAGCCACAGTGGTCTACCTGTGGCACCACATTCACTATCAGGTAACGGCTGCTGTCGAGGAGACCATCGGGCGCGCAAACTGTAAGCGATCCGATTGGTTTGATATGAACAATGCGACGATTGGCGCATTGATGTCGGGGAAGAATGCAGCATTTGCTGCACATGTGGCAGACCCCAGTGACTGGGAGAAGGTGAGTCAGTTTCGCAAACTTCGACAGTGACAGACCCGAGAACTCGGTCGCATTAAAATTGTTTGGTGGACGGGGAATTCGAGGCCGTTGGAATTCTACGCCGAACGCCGCCGACACAAGGAATTCTTTACTCTTTGAATCCGGTGTATATACTGAGGTTGCAGCCAGTGAGGACGCTACTCGATGTTAGTTTAGGCGCTACCTGCACACAGACTGTAGACATAATTCAGATCTGGCGAAATCACTTTGACCGTCTCTTGAACAACCGTTCGGAGATTGACTGGCCTACATTGAACGGCCTGAAGCATCACGAGGTGAAGATGAGTCTGGCAAAATGCCGACAGTGGATGAGACGCAGAGATCACTTGCTCAGGTGCGAAACGGCAAGTGTGTCTGTGCCGACGGGATCCCGCCTGAAGTATGGAAACACGGCGGACCCATGTTGGTGACTACGCTACACCACTTGGTGCAACGCATGTGGATTGAGGAGGATGTGCCTCCTGAGCTGAAGGATACATTTGTGCTACCACTGTACAATCTCGTCCTCATCATTATACACGTTAGCTGCAGGTGGAAAACACTTCAGCTGCAATACACAAGACAAGAAGAAAACAACAACAGAGACGCGCAGGCTGAGTCCCCATTAACGGATGGACATCGTTCCGGAGAGCTAACAACCGGCTATCGTGCCGCAAGAAGTGAGTTATATTATGCCTAACGAATGAGATCGTGATTGGACAGGGAGGCTAAGCAGGAGGGGTTGGACAAAGTAACTCACAACACAAACACCATTAGGACTGGCCCCTAACCATATCAGCAAGTGGGTCCAACCAAACGTGTTCATCGTCCTTAGGACCCCAGCCAGGCAGTCGGGGTACACTAACCGACGCCAACTTCGAAATGAGGGTTTTCCTTTCTAAGTCTTAAATTATACCCACGGAAATGCAAGAACACAATTTTGTGAAGAGTACTCTTCTCGACGAATCTCCTCAGACATTTACAACTATAAAATGAAAGGGCAGAGCACAAATAGCTGATGAAGCCAAAGAGGTGGGAATAGTGGAATCACGACAAACAGAAACTCAAAAGTCTTGCTCAATAAAGTCGACTAGCAACACATGTGACAGAGCACGTGTTGGTTGATCGGTGGAATGCCAAGCGCATCATCCGATTACTGTAGGCGCACGAAATGATAAAAGTTGGTAAGCTGACTAGGGCCAAGGTAGAAGAAGCCCTTGCAGCAAAGCCTTGTTTGCATGATTCTGATTGAATTCTCATAATCGCGATCGCTTCGGCAGTCCGTAAGATTTGCTTCCTAAGACCTTTAGTGTGTCGTTGCGGTACTATATAAAGTACTTGGGAGACATCAGCAGGCCTAATTCGGTGTTGGCTTTCCACCAGATGTTCCAGGGTAGAACTGTTGGGTCGACTGACGATGCCTTTCCGCAAAGCGGCTGGGTAGTGCTCCGCAATGCGTTAGACAGATGACTGGTTGTGTGTCCCACGTACGTCACATCACAGACGCAGGTAAACTGATATAAGATTGGGACTGAACCGGAAGTGTGTTGTTAACGCGTTGGGCTATAAAGGGAGCGCTTTGATAATGTTTGCGTATTTATTGGATGCACATTTTTTCAGCAGACAGTCCTAAAGGGCACATCGATCCACCGAATCGAAGTCACCTTTGATGTCGAGAAACACGACGACGGTGGGTCACCAGTAAACATGGCGGTGCTCCAACAATTGATGCAATGTGAAGATGCGATCGATGCTCTTTTGCCCTCGACGAAACCCGACTTGTTCTTCGCGGATCTGGCCTTCACGAGTGCCAGTCAGTCTGTGGAGAACGACAGAGGCGAGTAATTTGGAGGCGATGGAGATCAGACTGATTCCTCTATGATTGCCGCATTCCGAACTGGTGCCTCATTTTGATAATTGGAACTATGACGGAGCGGCTCTAGTCTGTCGGGACAGTTTCCTGCTCCAAAACTTCCATTAGCAACTCGTGTAAATCATCTACAAGAGCAGGCCCCCCGAATTTGAAGAGGGCTGGGGGGATTCTATCTGCCCCTACAGCCTTATGCAATTTCAACAGTCTGATCTCGCGTTCGACTTCTGCGCGTGAGGGCGGATCTAGGGAGACGACCCATGGAGTAGGGCACTCAATGCCCAAAAGAGAAAGTGATAACTCAGATTGGTTAAACTGCCTTGCAAAGTGTTCGGTCCAACATTTCAAGCTTTTTGACAGGCTGTGGATCGGCTGTCCACTCTCATCGCGGATAGTCTCGTTAACACCAGGTCTCCTGCTGCCTGTTTCCCGTATCAGACAGAATAACTTACGATGATCACCAACGGCAGCGGCTGTTTCCATTTCCGTTGCGCGATGAGACCACCAGGCTTCGCGGTCTCTCTTCAGCCTAGCACGTAGTTTTGCCCTGAGATTTTTACGGGCCTCCTTATATTCGCTTTCAGCCTGAATACGTCGGCGAGCATCCATAAGTTCAAGAGACTTTGTAGAGATCCAATGTCTAGTTTGGCACTATGATTTGCCACATGAAGACATGCCTGCTGATAGTAACGTTTGACGAATATGCGACCAGTGATTTTCGACGGTGTTCAATGGACGTTTACTCAGCCCAGATGCCAGCGTACTTTGATACAAATTCATAACACCTGGCTTCGCCAGCTGGCTGGTGTTAATGAGCTCAGATCGACGTTGCGCACATGCGCCGAAGCGCACCCGCAGGTAAGCACACACAAGAGTCTGATCGGAGTCCACTGTGGTGCTCCAAATCGAGCGACAGTTTTGGACACAACCCCTCAAGCGGTAACTAATTGCGATGTGGTCGATTTGCGTCCATGGCTAGCTCGAGGCTGGTGGGCGCTAAGTCACTCTTTTGCGGGTGCTATGTCGAAAGTTAGTGCTCGCGAGAAAGAGACGAGCACCTTCACACAGGTGTAGCAACTGCTTACCCTTATCATTACGGGAGCCTACACCGTGTTGGTCGCTCAGATGAAGCTCATCAGAGGAGAATTTTCCGACTGGCGCGTTTAGAATACCAGCAAGCACCACAGTATCCGTGCTTCTTCTGTAACGAAGAAGATCGTTAACTTGGTGATAGAAATCATCTTTCACTGAATCAGCGCTGCAGTTTGTGGGGACATAAGCCGCAATGACAAACAGGCACCGTTTGTCCCCGCGCGACTTCTAAGCCTGGAACGAGCCAGCCAATCTAACGGCGCACATCGGGCTGTTGACAGGGATCCAGTCGATCAGGGCAGCTTCAGCCTGGGGACTCAAAACAATGCGGACGACAGCTTGACTTGCATTTGAAGCTGCGTCATCGCCAGACAGGCGCAATGAGGATGTGCCGCCAGTGTCGCATGTGGGGATGGCAGGGTTAGCACGGAGCTCGAATCTTGTAGGCGGGTTTCCCATAAACGACGAATATCGATTGAGAGAGTCTCGAGTGTTCGGACAAATGCTGCCTGTTGGCCAATCTGTAGCAAAGTGCGCACGTTGAGGCATGCCAGTCTTAGGGAGGATCGAGGACTCCAAAGGGAAACGGATGAACTGACGTTGTCCGCTTGGTTGAACATGGACTTGTCGACTGGGTTGGAGCGACGCCCTGAGACTGGGTGTGAGTTAAAATTAGAAGACAATCGACTATTCAAGCAAGGTGAGGGAGAGCCAAAAATCGGGGATTGAAAATGGGGGGATTCGAGTGCATTTGGAACGGGACGCTATGGGTGAAAAAGCACAAGAGGCGACAAGACTTGAGCAGTAGCATCCATACCCCTGTCTACCCTTCTCGATGCAGCAGATAGGGCACGGTTTGTTATCTCTGCAATGGCCAGTACATCACCAGATTGTTAGAAGGAAGGGTCATGGGGTATTGCGTGGGCAGGATACTGTCAGGTTGCCCAGGCCTAGACAGGAGAACGATTAGGGTTCTCCACCAAAGCCTTTGGTTCAAAAACCTAACCGCAAGGCAGCGGGGTTTTGGCACTGGACTACAGAGAGCCCGTTTTATGGAGTAAGGAGCCACCCTCACTCCAACCCCCTACCTGGAGTGCCAGGAGACTGAATTTGTCTGGCTATTGATCAATCTGGCATGGTGGCTCTGAAGGTTCAAAATGCACCACCCAGCATATCTCAATGGATCACTGGGGCACACAGACCATTGCACCACGTTCAGGTCCAGTCTCCTCGCGGTGGACCACTATACAATTTCAAAGGAAGCAAGCAATGTGCCGCGAATTATTGTGGTATCAACTTGCTGAGTTGTGTGGGCAAGGTAGTTGCCCGAATCCTACTCAACCGCCTCGTCAGTCAGGTTGTGGAACCGAACGTGTCGGAAGTGCAATGTGGATTGCGTTTGGGTCGTAGCACCATAGATCTGGTGTTTGCGGCTCGTTAGGTGCAGGAAAAGTGCAGAGAACGACACCAGCCGTTGTGCTCGCTGGTAGTTGATTTCACCAAGGCATTTGATACGGTGAATCGCGAGGCATTGTGGATGCTGTTGTGTAAGTTTGGCTGTCCGAGTAAGTTTGTAAGTCTTATTGAATGTTTGCACAGTGGTATGCGGGCGGAGATACACCTGAGTGGAGAGACCTCGGATGACTTTGCTGTTGTCTCTAGTGTGAAGCAAGGCTGTGTGTTAGCTCCTGCCCCGTTTAATATTTTCCTTCATGCCATGATGTGCTTTTAATGCGA